TACTACTCTCTCTCTCTCTCTCTCTCTCTCTCTCTCTCTCTCTCTCTCTCTCTCTCTCATATAAAAGAAGTTTTTTAAAGCTTGGAATGAAAGCACATATTCTCATCTCACAACTGTAATCAGATCTAAGACTTTAAAACAACAGGACATCATAAATATAAGATTTAAATGAAAATATATATTCTCACAACTATGAGAGATGGCTTACACAATCGGACTTAATAAAACAATGGGTCACTCTAGACTATGCCAAGTTTAAATTAAGAATCTAAAATAATGGAACTTCGTGCTATGTGAAAAAGGAACTGGAATTTAACATCATGAAACTTATGATTCCTAAATAATGAGATTCTGGAAACTTCAAACAATGGCAATCTCTAACCTAGTATCATCCATTAATGAAAGTAGGACCCACAAACATGGAACTTAAGATTTTAATGTACCAAAACCTTGGACCATGGTTTATGGGAGGGGGATCTATTTCGAAATGGAACTGGATTCCACTGATGGAAGGAACGTGATCCCCTTTTTTTGGGAGCGAGATCTCAAAATCACAAAAAACGGGGTCCCTACAAGATCCCATGCAGAAACCCGTGGGATCGAGGTACCGAAGGGGGATCGTCACCCTGCCCACAAGGTTCCCTTAACTATGGGAGAGAGAGCGAGAGAGGGAAAGGGTAAAGAGAGAATAGGTGTAGAGGAGAGAGGGGGGGTTTCAAAAGAGAGAGATAGAGAGACATGGGAGGCCACATGAGGATTTGTAATGAGCCTTTTTGCTTTGGACATCTTTGGTATTAAGAAAAAAAACAAGCAATGTAGTAATTAGGAAGGATGAAAATGCAGAGAGGGCAGTGCCATCCCATTTTTTAAAGCTAGAGGGGGTCCACGGGCTTCCCCTTTTTGGACCCAAGCGTTTAAGAGGGAGAAAATTGTGGGGGAGGGGTTGCGGCTCAGTTTCCCTTTAAAAAAAAAAATTACTGGATTCTCACCTTCTATATGACTGAATTCTTTTATCAGCCTTGCCGTTGGCCTATCAAGTTCTTCTCTTTCAGGAACATTGAAAACATAGACGCTATCCAAGTCTTGCATATTTTTCTTTTCCTTCTGCAAAAGCCATAAAGAATGCAAAAGACTAGGAATAAATAGTATGACAAGAAATCAATAACAAATTAATATTAGGAAAAGGTTTACATAAGGTTGCAACCTTGAAATGTAGCATTAAAGATGCACCTTAAAAATCCAACATAAAGGTTGTTTTAATGTTGAAAAAACCTCTAATTGATCATCTTGACATCGAGATGTATAAATATGAAAAAAAAAAAAAAACAAACAAACAAACAAACAAAAACAAAAAAACAAAAAACAAAACCACAAAAATTGACTCCCAAAAATAGAACATCTTGCAACGCAATATCTAGACCATCAATTTTCAATATTTTCATATGTTTATATATCTACTTGATTTTAGCCATTTTTGGATTTTAAAAATTTATAATTAGAGATGAAAGCAGATTTTCAGATAATCCTAAGAATTTTTTACACCAAAATCATATGTTATGATAAAATTTGGAGGTGCGCTTTAATTGGATTGCTTAAGGTTCCAACCTTATACAAACCACACCCTTAATATTATGAATATTATGACAAAGTCACGTTGCTCGAGTTAAGCTATTTGAAACATACATTACAAAATTCGTCACACTAAATTTAAAGTAGCTGAACTCTAAAACATCACTGCAGTAACTAAAGCCTTATTGTGCACCATAGAAGATTGATTGCCCCTCTATACCTCATTGATGAATGAGAACTAGAAACTTGGCATCCTTTAGTACAACCATAAGACCGTCAAAATTATCCCCACAAATATCCTCTCAAACTTATGCATGACCAATTAAGACAGAGACATTCCTTGATGATTCACTAAAGTTTAATGAGACCACTTGTCATCTCTTGGAGTTATGTCAGAAAAAATTTAAACCATCTAAGCGTGAACATGAAGCACCAAAGAAAATAAATGCCTCTACCAAGTTGTCAGTGTGACCTTATTTCTAGCCAAAACATACAACAATAATGAACTTACTGTATTAAAGAAGCAAATAGCAACCTCGTCATAATCCCGGTTAATGATTAGGGTCTTCAAGGACTCTGTAATGCACCTGTTAGCAGCATGAAAATGGCTTTCACTCTTCCCAGCATCCTGCATGGGCAATGCATTAGGAAGACTTGGTCGAAATCACACTTGATATTTGTAGCAACAAGGCAAGACAAAGAGAACAAAAACAGAAGCATGGGAAATTGATGATGTCCACAGCACGCCATAAAATGTTTTTTTTTTTTAGAAATGTTAACTGTTGTATTGAAAAAGAGAGAGACATACAAGGTTAATCCAGGAAAAACTTAGAGAGTCTCCTGGTAAAAAAGAATAGGTCAGAAGACTGTATACAAAATGGGGTTATAGATTTTCCCCTTACATCATATTTTGTACATGTACAAGAGACAAAGAGACGAGAAAGAGAGGGAGAGCAGAAATCAAAAGCCCTGGCTAAAGGGACAGCCAGTTGTGTGGGTTGGAGAAGAAGAGAGCACGCCATAAAATGTTTATAACAACAATTACAACTGTAACCACTGCTGATAGGGTTCATTAAATCCTTTACAAAAATAATATCCTCATCAGGATGTACATAAAATCACAAAGGCAAGCACATCTGTGATGCTCACAACTCTACAAAAGCACATGGAAATTGATTCGTGACAATAGCACCAAACCTGCAGTCAGTCATATGTAATGTCCAACTGCATAGCCTTGAGTTATTTTTGTTCATTTATCTAAAATAAACAAATAGATATGCCACATACCTGAGCAAGCATTTCTGGTCTAGCATCTATGAGGTATACAACAAATTCCTTGCTTGATTCCCTTTCCTGTAACATAGGTGGCAGAGTTAAATGGCAAATGGAACAAACAGTACAACCCAAAAATAAATATTGCAAGCTTCAACCCATCATATTTTCATCAAAAATAGATAACTAAATGTTAAACCCATTATTTATTTTAGGGTAAATTAGGAGACAGGGTGCTTACTTGATTCCCTTAACTATTTCACAAAAATAAGATAGAAATGGGATAAAAAGAAAAATCATGGACCAAAAACTACTCGAGTTCACACCTAAGATGAGCTGTTTGGACTTGGAGCAAAGAGCATCAGAAAGAAGGTTTAAAAGTTACAGTACCAAACTTACTGAAAGGATAAGAAATTAAGATAGGTGATTGCGGAAGCCAAGTTGTTGTAGTAGATTTTTATCAGCAGATCAAAAACACAAGAAATGGGCAGAAGAATTAAGTGCATAATGCATCAAATAGTAAAAGTATAGAACAAACATTAAATGGGTCAACCCATTTGTTAACTGGTTTGGAGCACAGAGATGTAGGGTTTCAATGGCCATTAAAGGCCTTATGAGAGCATGTAATCAATATCCAATATAATGGATCAAAGAACTCCGGTGGGAGTATGATCCAAAGGACCAAGAGATCATGGTCCAGAGAAACCGAAATAGGCAAATGCTATCTACCGATGAGGGTTCATGAGTTATCCCCTGATGAGGTCGAAGTTGTCGAAGTTGCCCAGGAGAGTGAGCCAAGGGACTATGTAACCCTTGTGTGTGATGGTTGGCCTCTAGAGATGAGGGTCAAAAGCCTCATCACTGGACCATCACAGGACCATCACACGACATGTGCATATGATAGCCATGGCGGGAAAGCAAGACACCATTGAGGATGTGGTGTGCACATGTGTGAGAGACTACCCCTACACACAATAGAGCTGTAGTTGCATCCAGTTTTTGCGACAAATGGGTTCGTCTCTAGGGGGAACCTGAGACCCATAGATTGGGATTATGTCCCCTTACCTATTGGCCGACTTTGGTAGCCCAATTATGAATCCCTGCAGTGGTCTGTGGGTCATGGGAACTACTGGATCAGTTTGAAAAAGCAAGTGAGGATTATAGTCCACAGTACAAAATGGAGTGCTTCAGAATAACTTAAAAGTTCCTAGACCTAGAAAGATCCTATTCCCATCAAAATTATTTGATTATATTTATTTTGATAATAATTGATTTTTAAAATGATTGTTTGAATCTTTAATTATCTCTTGATATTTTACTTTTGCAAAATGAATTTATAAAATTAAGAAAGATTCAATTTTCAATATCTAAATATTCAATGAAGAAATAAAACTTATGTCACATATTCTAAAAATCCACAACCCTTTTAAAAAATTAACTTATTTTTTTTTAGGGGGGTCATGTGGACCCACCTAAGAGCCCCCAAGTTGACATGCGACTTTTTTAGAGCCAACCTGGGCATGCCATTTTTTATGGGAGACCAAAGATGGCACGCCCCATATTTTGGGCAACCCATATTTTGTGGAGATTCTATATATTGTGCTAGATATGGTTTAATAATGATCTTGTTGACTAAGTCAAATTAAAACGAGATATATTTTAATATATCGAGATCTTGTTAGAGCAATTCAATTTGAAAATAAGATATGCTCTATGAGTCCTAAGAGATTAAAAGCTCTAAAAGAGATATAAAAAAGAAAATAGTTTTTCACTTGATACACAGTATCTAGTATTTTACTTATCTTATATTTTGATGTGATAAAGGTTTAGGAAACTCAAGCATAAGGTTCTACATCGTCCTTTGAATCATGATGGCTGATCTTAAGAATAAAAGGTTCAGATCTCTCACCCCACAAGACTGGATGAATTTAAAAGTGGTTATTCCCAAAGAAATCCTATACCCTGAAAAAGTCTATAAAAGAGAGCCTCTCCACCTCTCATTCTCCAAAATTCTCTCTCTTTCTCTCTGATATTCTTATAGGGGTGGCACGCCACCCTTTGAAAGTTCTCTCTCTCTCTATCCAGTTCTCATCTCTCTAAAAGAGAAATAGGGGTACGGCCCCATAAGAGAACAAGAAAAGTAGGCACGCCCTACTCTGCAGTTCTAATGCGCTGAGGCATTGAAGGAGATAGTCCTTTTTCTCTCATACTTTGTGAAGGTGTTTAGCCAATGCTTTCCCATATTTGGTAGATCCGAGAAATTCTAATTAATCTCATGTGCCATTAGAGGAAGGAGTCCCGATGTACGGTGTTCTAAGTCCAGTTGAGGTAATCTTTCTGCATCTTGTTTTGTGGTTTGTAGTATTTTATTTCTTATGTTTTCTTATTCCCAAAAGCATTGTGTTGGTTTTATTCATTGAATAAAAAGAAGTCGTAATTAGTGGCAGCAAGTGAGACCCACTTATGGTTATTTATTTATATGTTATGGGTTGAATTTATTGTAATTGGACCGTGTTCTAGACAGTGTGAAAAAGAAAAGTTAAAAAATTATATACAGTGTGCTAGATAACCTAGTCCAACTTTCAAGACAACTCACATTCGCATATTCTAATCCCCATCTCATCACAAAAAATCATAACTTGCAAGCCGAGTTGGTTGATGGGCATTCAGCAAAGGGGTCCAAATTGAGGATAAAAAAAAAACATAAATAAAAAATTTATAGAACACTATATTAAAACCATTGAATTTAGGGATTTGGTGCCCAAATATCAGAGCATAAATTCCGGGATTACAATCCCATCTCTCACCAAAATAACAGAAATCACTTGCAAGTGCCTAAAAGAACGATGTTTCTTACTTTCATTTTTATAGACGATATCAAGCACCAGAAATGGAGGCAAAAATAAGAGGAAAATAGGCCACGTAATAAATTCATAGAACAAAAAATTTGCATGAGCTCGACCTGTTTTCTGGAGTATCAGAACCCAAGTTTCCTGGTCATAGTCCTAGGTTAACCAGAAGAACAAGATCACTTCACTTTTAGGTGACTATCACGGGTGTTTATTTCTATGCTTTCTAACAGAGGAGCAAAACCAAGGATACATACCTGAAAAAATTCGCCCTCAGGGTCTTCCTCATCATCTCGAAAAAGGTTGTCTGGGTCATAATCCATAATAAGTGTCTCAAAACACAGAGCGAGAGAGAGAGAGCCTTGCTATGTAAGCTTCAGAGAAAAATTGGGAAGAAACCGAAACTGTTCCGAAGAAACGCATCCGCGCCTTCCAGAGACTATTTAAATTGGAAGGCCCCCGCCCCCGCCCCCGCCCCCGCCCCTATCGTATTTTTTCATAACACATAAAAACTGGATAGAACAAATTAAGTAATGTAAAGCGGGTATTATTGTAGTTCTAATTTTATAACTATGTTTAATATATATAATATAAATTAATTAATATTATATTATTGTTATTATTATTATGGATATAAATTTATAACATCGTAATACTATTGTTATTAAACAATTTACATAATTATATATTAATTAATATTATATTATTGTTATTATTATTATGGATATAAATTTATAACATCGTAATACTATTGTTATTAAACAATTTACATAATTATACTTAGATGAGACATGTTGATAACATTTAATTAAAATTCTAATTATTTTCTGGTTTTTATCTTTTATGTTGCCAAAGAAGACTTGCAATATGATAGAGTGATTTCAGCATAATTTCTTATGGGCAAGTGTTGCAGAAAATAAAGGCGCTCATCTTATTAAATGGATAGAATTTATTATGGGCAAGTGTTGCAGAAAATAAGGGCGCTCATCTTATTAAATGGATGACAGTTTGCCTCCCTCCGGAAGAGGATGGGTTGGGAGTGCGAGATATGACAGAATTCAATACTGCGGGTATGATGAAATTGGCCTGAAGGATTTTAGCTAATCCTTCTTCTTTAGTCACGTGGTTTTTCATGCACAAGTATTTCAGAACGGGTTCTATTTGGAATTCTGTAGCTAAGCAGGGGTTGTTCCCATGCTTGGAAGGGCATTCTTGCTCGTCTATCACATAACGGCCAGACGATGGATTTCTTGATGGACCCTTGATTAGCAGTACAGTTGATTTGGATTTTTATGATGAACATGGTCAGATGGACTTGGGGGAACTCAAAGGGCGAAAGGTTTATGATTTTATTGACGGCAACCCCCAATCATGAGCACTACCTTCATCTTCTTCCAATTTCTTGAACAATAAATGGAGTGATGTGGAGCACCATATACGTCCCTTGTAGCCTAAGAAGGATTCACTTGTATGGATTCATTCTGCTAATGGAATTTTTTCAATGAAAGCGGCATGGGGACTTCATTCGCCATAGTAGTTCACCTCAGCCTATATTTCGTGAAAGTATGCAAAATGCCATCCACGGGATAAGTGGTTTTCTTGGCTTGCTATGCACAATCGGCTATCGACAACATATATATTTCAACAACGAGGTTGTCATATGGCTACTATCTGGGTTTTTTGCAGGAATAATGAGGATAATCTTTGTCACCTCTTGTTTCATTGCAATTTTTTGCAGGGTGGATGCGGTTTTTAACCTAGTAGTGTGGTAAGAGATTTGTGCTTGGACCTTCGACCTAGGATATTCTTCGAAGTTGGTTAGCTTTCAAATTCAAATCATATGGGTTTCTCAACATTTGGATGGCTATTTTCTTTACGACATTATAGTTTCAAGAAGAGAAATAAAAGAGAGTAGGTTATTGTTCGGATTACTTCACATGCCAAGGCTCGAGCAGAAGTTAAACAATAGGCATTCCATCTGTCAGAAAAGGCAATTATTAGCAATCTTCAGATTACTTTGCGCCATCAAAAGCCAAAATGCCTAATCCCAATTGCATGGTCACCCCCGAAGGCCCAATGTTATAAGTTGATTATTGATAGTGCGTCATTGCATAATCCGGGTATGGCAGGTGGTTTTGGGGTCATAAGAAACAATACTGGTGGTTTTGTGGCAACTTTTGCTAAAAAATTTGGATTTGCTTCCAATAATTTTGGACAATTCCAGGCTTTAGAAGACAAAATTCTTTTAGCTATGCATAAAGGTTGTTTTCCAATACATATAGAAAGTGATTCATCTCTACTAGTGGATGCTATTAAGAATCAACGTCATGCCCCATGGAGAATTCATACGGTAGCAATTAATTGTCATGTCAGGCTTTCCCCCTACAAGTGATCTATTGCACATGTTTTTACTGTGGCGATCAGGGTAGTTGATGCCCTTGCTAATAGAGGATCTGTTTACTTAGGCGCCAAGATTTGGCGTAGTCATTCGCCAAACTTTCTTTCTCTTCTTTTATTACATGATTTAGTGTAACTGTCCTAGTATAGGGTTGTAAGATAATGTGTTCTTCATTTTCTATTAATGAAAATCTGTGTAGGGGGCCTTCTCCCTCACTGACTTATCCAAAACAAAAATAAAAGATTCTAATTATTTTTGTAATTATTATAATATTCATTACAACCAATGGTTTAAAAAGCGGATCAGTGACCCAGATCGGGCACCTCAAAAACCGATCCGGATCGACGAATCAACGATCCGGATCGGGAATCGGCTGAATCGGTCAGATTAAAGCTTCAAAAAAATCCGAAAAAATTATTAAAATTCATTATAAATGTTGGTTTTTAGGAATCCAATAAGAAATGAGGGTACTACATTATTAACTTTCATTGTTTTCATCAATTTATGAATATTGAGATGTTCTTTCCATGTATGAACTTATGTTGACCATTAAATTTACATCACACAAAATAAATCATAGAATTATCATGGATTAAGTATATAATCATATATGGACTACAATAAAGAGTTGACTAAATCGATGAAAAATTGGCCACTAAAATCTTGAATTGGCGGAAAACCCTAATCCGCTAAAAAAACTCAAATTAT